GGGGGTGGCGGCCTCTGCTGGGGCCCGCTGCCGGCTCGGTGACCCCTCGGACTCGGAGGCCGCTGAAGGGGATTTGAACCCTTCCTGCTACTCCTGAACGAGCCTTTCGCCCTTCTGGGGTGAGCACGGTGCCACGCAGGCGCTGGAGCTGTTCTGCTGCAGCCTTGCCTTCCCCCGCGCAGAGCTGACGGGTGTGGGGCTCATGAATGTCGTCCCCACCCCCGCCAGGTGCGTCAGGAGGACACGAGAGCCCAGTTTCTGATCCCCGTGGGCTCGCTGGGCCGGAACCGTGCCGAGGCCTCCCTGGAGCGGGCTCAGAACCTCAACCCCATGGTCGATGTGAAGGCCGACCCCAAGGGCGTGGAGAGCAAGCCGGAGGACTTCTTCACCCAGTTCGATGCTGTAAGTGCTGGGCACGGGGGCAGCTGTGATGCTGGCGTCCTTGCCTGGGGGACGTGGGTTTCCCCATGCAGCCGGCCCCGGGCGCCAGTGACATGGCAGGTGTTGCTGCTGCTTCCAGTGAGAGCCTTTGGTGATGGGAAGCCGTGCTCTGTGGCCTCGCCTCTCTGCAGAGCCTTGGGGGAAGCCCCCAGACTTCTGATGTGGCTTAGCACGGCTTGGCACGGCCCAGCAGGGATGGCCAAGTGGAGCATCGCGTGTTGTCCCTGTGCACGTGGGTTGTTGTTGTGCCCCAGCGCCCAGGCAGAGAGAGAAGGTAGAGGCAACGAAAATGGTTTGGGGGCTTTGCACCAGGCCTCTGCTTTAAGCTGGCCTGCGTCCCACACAGCAGCCTTTGTGTGCCCAGGAAAGGGACCTGGCTACTGTGGACTTCACGACGAGCTGCAGAGCTTGAGCTCTGGGGCCTGGCTTAGGCTGGGGCCTGACCGCCTAAGTAGCAGCTGTGCAGAAAAAGATCTGGGGGTGATGGGACAAGAAGCTGAACAGGAACCAGCAGTGTGCCCTTGTCACCAAGAAGGCTACCGGCATCCTGGGCTGCGTTGGTAGGAGCAGTGCCAGCAGATGGAGGGAAGCGATTCTTCCCCTCTGTTCAGCACGGGAGAGGCCACATCTGGAGTCCTGTGTCCAGCTGTGGCCTCCACTACAGAAAGGATGTGGACACATTGGAGAGAGTCCATCAGAGGGCAGTGAAAACGGTTGTGGGGCTGGGGGACATGACTGGTGAGGAGAGGCTGAGGGAAATGGGCTGATTTATTATGGAGAAGAGAAGACTGAGGGGAGATTGAATAGCAGCCTTCAGCTCCCTGCAGGGGGGCTGCACAGGAGGGAGCTGGACTGTTCTCAGTGGGGGCAGGTAACAGGACAAGGAGCAATGGGCTTAAGTTGCAGCAAGGGAAGTTGAGGTTGGATATTAGGAGGAGGGTGGTGAAGCACTGGGACAGGCTCCCCAGAGAGGTGGTGGAGTCTCCATCCTTGGAGGCCCAGCTCGACAAAGCCTTGTAGTTGGGGCTGGCACTGCTTGGAGCAGGGGGTTGGATGAGACGCGACCTCCTGAGGTCCCTTCAACCCTTGTTTTCTACGGTTCTATTCTATGGTTTTGTGCCCTGGTGCAGCGCAGATGGATGCTGGGGGCAGCCACGAGGTTTAGTGGTGTTCTGCCTCCGGGCCTGTCAGCAGCAGGGGCTGACTATCGCTGCCTCCCAGGTCTGCCTGACGTGCTGCTCCCGGGACGTCATGGTGAAGGTCGACCAGATCTGCCACAAGAACAGCATCAAGTTCTTCACTGGTGACATCTTCGGTTACCACGGCTACATGTTCGCCAACCTGGGGGAGCACGAGTTTGTGGAGTAAGTGCGAATGCTGCCAGGCAGGCTGCTCTGGTTTGATCCCTGGGATTGGAGTCCTGCCTGCCAGGGTCCTGGCCTTGTGGGCCATCCCAGCACATCGAGGTATTGAGACCTGAAGCCGTGGAGCTGCTTTCCCCTGCCCAGCAACAGAAAGGTCCCGTGGGGCACTTGTGTGTTCGGTAATACTGGCTACGTTGAGAGAGGCTTGCCAGTCCCCCTGTTCTCCCAGGCCGCACCCTCCTGGGTTCTCTGCTCCAGGCTTCTGCTTTGAGCTGACTTGCGTCCCCCACAGCAGCCTTTGCGTGCCGAGAAAAGGGACCCGGCTACTGTGGACTCTGTGGGGAGCTGCAGGGCTTGGGCTCTGGGGCCTGGCCCACATGATTCATAAGGGTCCATGGGTCATCGTAACAGGCCCCAGCACCTCCCAGGGAACCATGCTGTTAAACCTCCTTTCCATCACTCTGCAGGGAGAAGACCAAGGTCGCCAAAGTCAGCCCGGGGGTGGAAGATGGGCCGGATGCCAAGAAAGTCAAGCTGGACTCTTCTGAGACCACCATGGTGAAAAAGGTGCGTGGAAGAGCCAGGGGTGAGCCAACAGACCTGCCTGCTCGGTTGTGGGGGGGGTCTCAGTGTTCGCGTGTGCTAGAGCGTGGCCCCTGCCGCCCAACGGAGTGATTCCTCCTTAGAGACACGAGGGCTTGGGGCACACATGGAGTGTCTCCTTGCAACTGCCTTGGCTGGGGGCCATCTCGGGAGCTGGTGGATGTGGTTCCAGCAGGATGCCCTGTTCTTCTCCTGGCGTGGTTGTGGTTGTGCTGGTCTAAGGCACCTTCCTGCGCGTGCAGCTGCCCAGGCGGGGGTTATGCTGCCTTGCCTGGACAGCACAGCGAGCGTGTCAGCTGGCCCCGTGCTCCACACCCAAACAGGAGGGCATAAAAGCTGCATTGTTGCTGCTGTCAGCTGATAGGGGAGCCCCCGTGCGTCTGGCTTGTGACCTGGGCGTGAAAGGTTCCCATGTCTTCTGGGGAAGACGAGGGAGCAGAGCCTTTCACATGTAAATGCCTCCAGGCCCTGGCATTGTGCAGGTCCCACAGCTGGAAGCTTAGCAGGGCAGTCCGGGCCTTGGGGCCTGAGCATGGAAATCCCCTCCGCTTTATCTGGCTATGAGGAGAATGCAGGCTGAGCCAGCAGATTAAGGGCCTTTGTGCGCCTCTCCTCAGCCCCTTGCTTCCGGCCGGGCCCACGCGGGGCTGGATCGGAAGGTATGGGAATATTCCCCAGCTGCCGTCCTCCCCCGATGGGGCTGGGCTCAGGTTTAGGATGCGGCGAATTCCTACAGAGTCCCCGGCAGGCCAGTGCCTGGGACGGGAACTCGAGGGAACGGCTGGGCTAGGCTGAGCAGAGCAGGCCGCTCCCTGTGCTGTCCCTGGGGGGTGTCGAATGGTCTCGGCACCCAGCAGTGTTGTGGCCCCCAAACACCTATGCTTCTCCTCCCGCATGTCCAGATCTTTCTGTGATACTGGCGGGTTGGGGGGCAGTTCCATGCCACACAGAGGGGCTCGGGGGCTGCTTGTATATGAGGACCTGTGAGAGGCGTGAGGAGAGGAGGCAGGGGGGCCCTTCGTAATGGCTGCGGGCTAGGGTGGGAGGCCAGGTGCAGATCCCTAGCTGGTGCATTGTGCTAGAGCTCCAGCAGGACTGTCCTGGCAGCTCAGAAGTCCAAAGCACCTGATCCCTCCCCTCTCCTCTCCTCGAGGCATGGGTTGTGCATAGGATTGAGCCCTGAGGGAGCCGGTGGCAGGGCACAGGCCCTGATTTGGCGCTGCCTGAGTGACCACATGGACAACCCCAGCTCACGGTCATGGCTGCTATTCCAAAGCATGCTCCCTAACCACCACGGGGAGGGGCTGGGGGCTCCTGTAGTGGTTGCAGCTGATCTCAGAACGTGGGAGCAGGCCTAGGGCGCAGCCATCGCAGACAGCCCCGTCCTGCAGGGTCCCTGCCGCCACCTGAGGAGGTGAATCATCCGTGCGCTCTCCACGGGCTGGAGCCCAAGGGCACAACCTTGCCTGGCTCCGCGCCACCACAGGATGCCAGAGACAAGGCCCCTGTGCAAAGGCGCGAGAGCCGGAGAGGGAGGGAGGAGCCAGCCCGAGGGACCGGGGAAAGTGACTCATTGTGCTCCCCGCGGCCGGCCGCGATGAGCTAATCCCTGCTCTTGCTCCCCACGGCTCGGGGCAGTGGCAGGAGGAGGCTGAACACGGTGCTCAGCACCACAGGAGCCCGCCCAGACCTGCACCAGCTCTGGAGCACCGTCCTCAGTGCTGCCACTGCATTACCCGTGGGCATGTGAGGACAGAGTGCTAGCCTGCAGCCATCCACCCACTTCGCTCCGAGAGCCTCCTGCCCTTGGGCACTTGTCCCTGTTGGGTTCTGGGTCTGGGCTCAGTCCCCCACACTGGCCGCCTGGCTCTGCAGCCTCGGCCTCATCCTCCAGCTTCCTGGCAGAGGCTGCCGTGAGAGGCAGCCCCCTCTGCACTTGTGATGCAGCCCCAGACGCATCTTTGGCTGCCGCACACAGAGCACGAGGGATGGTATGGCCAGGCTGGCCCGTGAAGCAGACGCTGAGCCAAGGGGGGCCCAGAGGGCGTCCCTGCGGCTATGGGCCAGCGCTAGCAGGCAGCATCATGTGCGTGGCATTCACGGAGGGGAGAAGATGGCACCTTTGTTCTCACCGGCCATGCAGCATGAGCTGGGCAGAGCGTAGCCACCTTCCCCAGCAGCCCTACAGTGGGAGGGGACCGGCGTCTGCAGGGGTGTAAAAGCTTTTGCTGCCGTAGCCTGGGCAGGAGCAAGGAGGGGAGGAGATGCCATCAGGGCTGAGAGTACGGGGGTCAGGCTCTGAGCCCCAGGGGTCGGTCCCAGCATGTGGGGCTGTACTGGTCACCCCCAGCAGAGGACCCAGCCCAGTACGTTGCGGGAGTCCCATTGGGAGGGGGTGAAGTCTGCCATGTTGCTCTCTGAGTCTCTCTCTGGCTTTCCTTCCGCAGCGCGTGGTTTTCTGCCAGCTGAAGGAGGCACTGGCGATCGACTGGAGCAGCGAGAAGGCCACGGCCGCACTCAAGCGCACTGCCCTGGACTATTTCCTGCTCCAAGGTGAGCAATGCTTTTGCCCGCGTGGGGTTTGGGGGGAGCGAAGGGGCAGCGGCTATGGAACCCGCCTGCCGGAAAGCACGCGGCTTTGCTCTTAGGCATCCATGTGTCTGTCCTTTGCTTTGTTTGCTGGCCTGTCCTGGGTGGAAAAGGCCCAGAGCTCTTGGAGGGGCAGTTCCCAGCCTTAGCCAACAGCAGCTGCTTTGCCCTAATACATTCACAGGGTGAGGCGGGTACTGGGGTGGGGATTTGCCCCAGAGAGCATCTGCTGCAGTCTCTGCCGGCTGATGCTCCCAACCGGCGCTCCCCCACTCTCAGCACGGGCACTTCCTGTGGCAGGAGCTGGCTTTGATTTGCTCGTGTTGAGGTTGGGGCGAGTTTACCAGGGTGGTGGTGAGCTAAAAATACCTAGCGCCTGTGGAAACAGCCGCGCTCTCCGAGCGGAAGTGCCCCGCCAGCCAGGGGTTCGGCTGGCCCCAACGTGCGCTTTGCTCGCTGCCCTCTCCCTCCGTGGCGCCTGCTCCAATATCAGGGCTCGTGTGGCCGCAGGCTCGGCGAAGCCGCAGCCCCAGGTGGGGCTTACCCATGACGAGTGCCAGTGCCCAGACTAGAACCCACTTCCTCTCCAGGGCTGGGGCTTTGTCAGCCCTCAGAGACCTGCCCGTGCCATGCAGCCCTCTGCTCCCCGAGCTCGCAGTGGGTTCAGAGCTACTGCTCTTGGCCAAGCCCTTCCGCCCCATCCTGAGCCTCCGCTGCAGCTGCCAGTGCCTCCTGCTGCTTCCTGCCCCAGAGAGGTGGCTGGGAGGGGCCGGGTACGAGTTGGGGAATTTCCCAGTGTCTTGGGCTCCATTCCTGTCTCCTCACAGGGATGGTTTGCTGCTGTCTTGGGTCACAAGCCCCTGCCAGTGCTGCCTTTTGACTCTGACATCCCTCCAGAGCTGAAACGTTCCCCTTGATGCCTCCCGTTGCCGGAGCCGAGCTGCAGCCCCCTCAGCTGCTTAGAGATGTGGCCCGTGGACTGGGCAGGGGTCGGGAGGCCAGCTTCATGAAGGGTTCCCCCCCCGCCACAGCGGCTGGATGTAGGCGGGGGAGTGCTGACGCTCCTAAAGCTGCGGCTCCTCCGCGCCTGGTCACTACCCTCTGCAGGCACACGGGGCCTCTTGGCCACTTTCCCAGCAGCCCCCCAGGCTCCTCAGATGTGGCTGGGGAGGGTCTTCTTGGTGCCAGCCGCCCTCCTCCTTAGCTGCCAGGCAAATGGCCCAGGTAAACAGGGGCCTTGTCTGATCCATGCTAGGAGGCGCCCAGAGCAAAGGAGGCAGCTTTCGGTCTGACCCCGCGGCTTGGCTGCCCACTGACCTGACGGCCCCTGTCCTGCACCTCCCAGCAGAGGCTGGGAATGAACAGACATGAGCCGGACCCTGAGGCTGCGCTTCAGGAAGGGGCAGTGCCAGGGTGGCCTAAGGTGGCCAGTTATGTCTCTGGGGTCTGTGGAAGGTGGGGCTGAGGCCCAGGGTCCCCGGTCCCTGGAGCCCTCCCGTCAGCGCTGTCCGCGGCGGTGGGACTCGGACGCGCTCTCCTCCCCGCAGTGCTCCTGAAGTTCCGGACGGACAAAGGCCGGGACCCCCTGCCCGAGAGCTACGCCACCGACACCGAGCTGCTGCTGCAGATACGGAGCGATGTGCTGGATGCGCTGGGTGTCGGCGCCGACCTGCTGCCCGACAGCTTCGTCAGGTGGGCAGCGTGGCTCGGGCTCTGCCTGCGGAACGAGGGTCACGGGCCTGGGAGGGGATTCCCGCAACCTGCTGCTTCCACCAGGGCCCTGTCCATGCGGGCTGTGAGTCAGCCCAGCCAGGAGGCTTGCCCCCCGCCTGGCTCCGCT